CCCACCGCGCGCTCATAGGGAGTGCGTACAGTTGGTCATAGTTACTGGGCTCCCTGTGGCGAAACTACAGAAATGATTCTTTCAACACATCCACAGATTTGCTACGCATTTGTGTCTACCCCCCGGTTGATGGTCCTGCCCTCGCCCTCGGTTCTGGTCCATATTTAATAGGGGCATGACCCTCACATATGGGTAATCAACAAATACTGACATTGTGGGGATACTGTTCTTGCATTCGTGTGTTATTATAAAATGGACTTGGATACATCCGAAAATTGTTCTGCACTTTTTTCTTACCGGTATATTCTTAAATATTTCTGGAAATGAAGCCTAATTTTGGAGTCAACAGACACAATTTCCATTTTTATCCAAAGATTTGGCTTTTTTTTAGTCTTCTGAATGAAAGTGCAGACTATAAACGGGACTATTTTGTGAATTTGTGGTGAAAAGCGAGAACTAGTGATGAAAACTTTAAAGGACGGTGGTCGTCGTGCCACGCATGCGCGAGATATCGGACTCATATGAACAAAGATGGCGACTTTGACTGTTGCGCAGACCAGCGAGTATAAACTGAAACGTTACTAATCCTTACTGTGTAATTTCTTTAGAGATCTGAAGGTATCAAATGAGTCACCGGTGGTAATTAGTGTACGTTGCCCCTTAGACAAAACACATACTCGTAATTTCCATTAGAAGAACGCATTGGATTATGGGAAGATCAATGTCGCAGCCTGAGCTCGACGACCGCCGCTCATAGGATTTTGGCGGTTTTGTTTTTGTTTAACCATCTTTTATGTTGAATAGTAAAAATAGAGGTTTTCATGTGTTGACTTCTCTAATACTAGGGAGTGATTCTCACCTTTGTCCTGAAGATTACACACAGGACACAAAGCGTTATGTTCTACGTATCTCTAGTTTTAGAACGGGGATGTTTATTCTAGGTTAGGTTTTTTTTTATTAACTCATATGCAAAAATTACAATGATAGATTACAGACAAAAACAACATAAAACAAAACAATTACAGATCATAATTTAACAAAAATGCCCCCATAGGACATAGTTAAGCATTGGATTATCATTCTCATCAATATCTCCCGGAATACATTTTGTGGCACTCAATGAGAAACAGAATTCTGTGAACGAGAACAACCATTTTCTAACTGAGTTCCAAAACTTGTAAATTTACAATCCCAAAATAAGTGAAAGTAGTCTTCACTAACCTCTTCACAAAAGGAGCATAATGAACACAATAGGGCTTTCTTGTTAACGGTCATATTTATCGCATGCTAATATGGTCATCTTCAATTTTACCGTTTCTATCCATTACCGTTTCTATCAATTTTAATAATTTTATGGAACTATACATCTATTTCCTTATTGTTTTTTTTTTGTGAGACAGGAAATGTAATTTCGTACATATTGTAGAGTTCCCTTTATAGTATACTATTGACTCCTTTCTGTGTGTAACTTTGTAATGTATATAATAAATACAATAAAAATAATGTAATTTGCTTTACGACGTCACTTCAGTGTTGATGTTTGAAGTATCTCAATAATAAAATGAAAAGAACTTTTATCATAGTTCATGTGGTTCATTATTTATTATTATCAGTTTTTCCATCATAATTTTAGTAGCTATAAAGCCGAGAAGTCATTCCATGACAGTTTTAGATTCGTATCCCCAATATAATCCACTGATATATCAACAGAAGTTCCTTCCTGGAACTAGATGCGTCTGATGGGGCCAGTTTGAATCTGTTTTCTGAGGGGATCGCCTTATTCTGCTGTGACCATGACAACATATCACGGAAGACTAATTACTGTCTGATATTAAGACTCCCATTTTGTGTGTAATGACGTGATTTGAGTGTATTTCCTGTAGCAGTGATTTGTAGCCAACAGTCGAACATCGCGTAATCCATGTATATACATGCCCGATTCTCTTTGTTAGTGTCCTAGCCCAATCGATGGTGTACCGTTTACCATATCGCCTACAAGTCATCGGCAACTGAGAACTCCACACTAAATCCAAACCACCCAGATGTTCGTTCACTATTTCCCACAGTAGGTGCGGAACGTTCTTGTGGTGATATAGTTTCGTAACCATGACAACAGTTCGTCGTTTAAATATACAGACGGATTTCAGCATTTCAATAAGAGGGGCGTACTTTGGATGCTGTATTGCTTGGCCCCAGAAGAACGCCATTTCGTTGTCAAGAAACCAATGATTTCCATTCCCATCAGCAAACATGTTATGTATCTCCATGTTGTTGTCGTCATAATCAGTAAAATTATGTCTAGCGGCATAAAGCACCCTGGAAAACAGAAATAGTGTAGTGAAGTCACACGTTAGATTTCAGGCACATTTTTTTCATTTGTGGCCAATTTTTTTTCAAGAAAATGCAATAGTTTGTCCTAATAATAAAAAAATGCTCGACTCTCTTATATTTTTAGTAAAAGTTCTACATTCTACAGTTCCACGTGTTCATAACCACCGCAAAACTCCAGACTGCCAAAATATAACAATAGATACCTATTTTTAACGCCATAATTGATTATTTGTATGGCTTGAACAACGCATTTAATCGATTTCTATACCGAGTTTTACTTTGGCAAAAAACGCACCCATCTGGTGAAAATACCGAGTAACTGTGTCGATTATTTCGCAATGCCCAAATTTACGGTGCAAAAAAGCATTTATAGTTTATAGTGTTTTGTGACTTCAAAATGACGTGCGACGGTTGAAAGTAACGTACGTTTAATTCAACAGATTATTCAGTCGTTCGTAATTCAGAATATGCCACAAATCAACGCAATATCAGTGTCACCTGTGAGGGCGTTCATCGCGTCACAGAAGCGCTTCGTCGCTACAGGACACAGAATGGAGTATTGTGTCGCCCTCATGTATACCTGTCAGTTTCAGCTAGTAAATAATCTAAAATAGTAGCGTCACTATATTCCATTAAATCCAAAAACTGTTGTTGCGTCAGTCCACTGAACATCGGGTTGTCTACGTGCAGGAAGCGATCGCCAGTCTTCATGATATTCGGCACATAGCTGGTAACAAACATTAGAAAGTCGATAGATTTAATTAAAACATGTATAATCCTTAGGGTGAACCCATCCCGGGGAATGCATTAACGGTTGTTATGTAAAGTAGGTATAAAGGTAGCATCATACCCGATACGCCCTCTACAGTGACATGAAGATGACAATTTGTTTTTATCTATTCGTTCGTCAATGCAAATATTGTTTTACAAATTTGCAAAATTCTAAATGACGAATGATTTCACAACCGAACAGAGCTGTTTCTTTACAAATTGGAGCTCATTTACGCCATGATGACGTCATTGCTGTAGGACGTTACTGGTTGAAAACAAATATACAAGAATACCAAAAAACACTAACAAAGGACTGATAAATATTTTCTCATACTAGAAGATTTGATTGTCTTCATGGAATTAAAATTAATAATTTTAATAATAACGCTCTGCTTCACCAAACTTCAATTTCGTATTATCCATCCGACAACCCAACTACCCAAACACAATTCATATATTATATACCTCATGTGGAAGACTGTCATGTGATTGGTCGCACGGTCACGTGGCGGTCAATAATGAAAATTCAGGAACCTCGATTTCGTATGCGCATGCGTAGTTGCTTACAACAAATTGCGTCTGCCAATATTTTTTTATTCGGGTCATTATAACTGAATACTGACCTCCACATTGGTAAGGTAATTCTTTATTTATTTATTGCTGTAAAATACTTTGTTTTAGCTGGAATTTAATTTTAGTTGAAAAGACTTTTTAGGTGTTTTGTATGGTACTTATTTTGCCTGATTTTTTACAAGTTGAATGTTAAAATATAGGAAAAAAGGTATATTCGTTGGATTTAATTTTCACTGAATCATTCCTTTAGCGAAAATAGCAAAAATTAATTCCAGGCGAAAATAAAGTATTTTACAGTATACACGTACGTGGCATGGAGTTCCGGGATCCATTTTGTTAAGGTTACCAGTCCACTCGGTATCCAATAATGGTTGTTCAGGTATTCCTTCACTGCTTCTAACCCCCATTGTGGAGTGGTCGGGTTTGGTTTGGTTACAATGACAGGAGGGATATGATTGATGCACATCAACAGTGAAAAATAGTAAGCCATAACTTCACCTAAAAGTGTCCAGATAAAACAATAACATTATATTAATCTAATGGCCACTATGATTCAAAGGACGGGATAGTTGTTTTGATCATATTCTCTCAAATGTCTTCGTAATTGGAGGTATCGGCACACAGGACTAGATACTACTAAATGTTTCATATGTATATGTGCTAATGGCATCGTGCATACCAAAGAACATCTGCGACGTTGTTATTCAAGAATATGCCGCCATTGCCCTGTTAGGAAACCACGCAACACAGAATTGTTGTCAGCTAAGAATTTAATTCGGCGGTCGTCGTGAAGCATGTGTTCGGCTTTCGTAAAAATAAACGCTCTATCCAAAGACGATTGGTTTTCAAAGCTGTGACAGTTGATCTGTATTTGTATATGTCAAATGATCGTGGACTCGGAGCATGTAGTTGAAAATTGTTCTGTTTTTCTTATTTAATTAAAGAATAAACCTTTCAATGAACTGCTAGTTGCAATCTCACCTAAGATAAAACACGGGGTTTTATACCGAGCACACCACTTACTACCGTCCTTCATGGTAATTTGGGCGTTTTCAGGCGAGGCCCAGTGACTACAAACACGCTCCTTCATGTGTGTCACAGTGAAGTTAGAGTTGAATTGCAGCCGTGACGATACATTGTATATATGTTCAGCTGAAGGTCCTGGAACACGGAGAAAAATAAACAGTTAAATGTGGCGGAAAAAAAGTGGCTGGGGATCTACCTTATATTCATCGTTGTCGTTGCTATTGTCACAGGTATCGATAGATAGTAACCTAATTCCATTGTGTTGTCAAAGTAAATTACACATTACAATGTGCGTGTTTGTTGACAATTGAACGGAGCATGTTCAAATAACTAAATGGTCACTATTCATTGAGCTATATTGCTTAGCACAGTTGTACAGTAGTGTTCGCTTATTTGTTTGTTTCCGAAATAACGTTTGTTAACGTCCTCCACTCATTTGAGATTTCGGTACCGCTGCGAATAGTGGATATATTATTGTATCTTATATGAACTATTTCTGTTAGTT